GAAATTCAGGGTCGGCTAAAACAGGCGCGGAGGCACTACGTAGTGATTTTTTTTATTTTTTTTTAAAGGCCTTTTTTTTTTTTTTTGAGATCAAATTAGGAGAAGGTGAAAGAAGGATAAGAATTAAGTTTCTAAAATAAAAAAGGGGGGGAAATTTCGTGAAAATGAAAAAAAAAAAGGGTCGCAGAGGGCTACCAGGCCGACACAGCGATTGTAAAGGAACAGGAAAAGGGAAAGTTGCAAAAAAAAAAAAAAAAAAAAAAAAGGAAAAGAAAAAGAAATAAGAAGGGGGAAATGTAGCAGGCACATTGGGATGGAGAGGGAGAGGAGGAGGGGGAGGAGGAGGAGGAGGAGGAGGGGGAGGAGGGGGAGAGGGAGGAGGGGAAAACGAAGGAGATGCGAGTACTGCAGCAGGTACATTGGAAAGAAGCACGAGGAAGAGGAGGCGGAGAAGGAAGTAGGCGGGGGAGGGGGGAGAGGAGACGGAGGGCGAGAGGAGGGAGGTAAAGGAGAAGTGGGAGGGGGAGGGGGGAAGAGGAGAGGAAGGGGGGGAGGAGGAGGAGGAGGAAGACAAGGAGATTGAGGAGAGATGTTGCAGGGCGGGAAGAAGAGCAACAACAACAACAAAGGAAGAAGAAGAAGAAGAAGAAGACTAATGAATAGTGAAAACAGAGGCCATAGACTGCTTCTCGCGCATGCTTCAACAGATAGATCAACATTACAATCTCCGCACGCACAGTTCTCAGTAGAAACGCGCAAATTCTCCGACGCGTTTTTTTGGGCCAGGCTGCGGTCCTGCGGCACTCCTTAGGGGGCTTCTCCTGAGATCGTCTTTCGGCACCACCAAGAATAAAGCAAGAAGAAAAAGAAGAGGAGGAGGAGGGGGAGGGAGAGGGGGAGGGGAGGAGGAGGAGGAGGAGAAGAACAAGGAGATCAAGGAGCAATCACCGGGCACGTTAGGAAGAATAAGCAATGAAGACGAAGAAGAAGAAGGACAAGGAGGAGGAGGAGGAGGAGGAGGAGGAGGAGGAGGAGGAGGAGAAAAACAAGGAGATGAAGCAGAGCAATGAACGAGGCACGTTGAAGGAGATGAAGACGAAGGAGGAGGAGGAGGAGAAGGGCGGCGGGGAAGGAGGAGGAGGAGGAGGAGGAGGAGGAGGTGAAAAAGAAGGGGAAAAGGAAGAAGAAACAAATCGGCGGCCGGGGAATAGGCCGTGTCGCGCACCGTGGGCAGCCGGTCGGGATCGGAATTGAATAGGGATCTGCGATTTCTTCAATTTTTCATAGGTCGAATTCCGACGGGTGCGCAGTTCCACCAGAAACGAGGATGGGATCTAACGCCTGAATCTGGACGCATTTGTGGAGAGGTGCAGAAAATCGCCATCGCCGTTGATCTGCGTTCCGGATCTCTCCTGAAAACACATCCCGATGCATGCGCTTAATCCAATGCTCTTCGTGAGTGGGACCTCGCCGCCGGCCAGGAGGGCGGCGGAAGGTTCTGATGGAAACAAAAGGGGGGGGGGGGGG